GCCGCAGGCGCAGGTAAAAAAAAAAAAGTCGCAGATGCAAAACACACACACACACACACAAGTGGCCGCCTTATTTTGCCACTTCTGAACTTCCAATGGCTAGAAGTGCACAAAGCTGTAACAGTTAAGAATCTGTTTTTGCATTTTCTAACTGCCCTCCCTCGGCCCAGAACTGCAGTGCCCTGTTACTGTTCTCCTTCCTGCAAATTCGGAACTGTGCACCCGTCACCTGCGCAGTTATTTCAAACAAATATTGACAGACTGCATCAGAGAAAAGAAATACGACAGGAAAGCAGAAGCTTCTCTAAGGACTGGCTCAGTCCGGCTGGGGGGTGAACGAGGAGGATGGATAGCCTCCATCAAATGGGAAGGGGGACAAGAGTGTGAGCGTAATATACTGAGAAGAGACTATCAACTTACCTTCCATGGCTGGACCAGGACAACGCCTCCATCCCCATGCGCCCACCTTCAGCTTTTCCGGACCTATTCCCACCGGGATCAGCCGACGACACTTGTGCCTATCTGGCGGTCGGGGTACGGGCTGAAGAGGCTGCAGGATTGACACTAAAAGAGCTGACAGAAATGCTTTTTTCAGAACATGACTTTTTCAGAATTGCCCTTCTGGAATGTCTCTGAGAGACATGTCTTTCGAGAATTCCTTTGCTTGAATGTGCCTGACAGTGTGGGTAATCAGGCCGGACAGTGCCACTTGCAATGCAGGAAGGACTCTGTGGAGAACGAGATTGGGAGACAGTAGTTTTATTAGTAAAATATCCTTGTTCTCAGCTGAAGCCTGAAGCTGAGTCCAGCAAATTTTCATAAGGGACGCTGGGCCCAGTTCCCTCCCCACAAATATATTGGAGCATTTGTTGAGAAAAGAAAAGAAAAAAGAAGAAAAAAGGAAAAAGAAGGAAAAAAAAAAGGCCTATACAGATGGTCTTCTCACCGGGAGAAGGATGTTATCCAGGGGATGGTGGTGGCGCAATGTGTGCTGGTGGTACGGTGGTACGGGGAGAGGGGGGGCGAGGGGGCGAAGGGGGTGCCCTGGAATGAACGCACTGTGGTATGGAGTCGGAATATGTAGTTTTTTTTTCACCCCTTAAATTTGTAATTGCGTGTCCATGTGTCATCCTTGCTCTGTGGTGAAGGATGTGCCCTTAGTACCCTTTACCACTTGGCCGCAGTCACGCCAGACCTGGCGAGAGTTATAGAATGAGGAGTCCCTTTCAAATCATGTGCAATTATCCTTTCAGATCGAGTCCCGGGGCTAGGTCCCACTTGCACGAATTAAGAGATACTGACCGTAGACAGCAAAGATCAACGGCCCAAATCTCCTAATTTGCGCAAGTGGGACCTTGCCCCCGGTTGTGGAAGGAAGCCTTAACCAAGGAGCACCTTTTTTGTACAGTGGACTGTGCACACTCGGTTGTCTTTTCCTTTCCGTCAGACACTTCTTCTTCTGTCACCTTTCCTCACACTTGCAGGACTCCCATGCGACCAAGTGAGGGGAATTTGGTTTTCTTCCTCCTTGTAGAAACAGAAGAGTAATCAGGAATCACAAATTTAAACCTGCATAATATTTTGCCATAAGGTGATTCCACACCACACGTGTCAAGAGGGCAAAGAGGGGAATTTATTTCACCAACAGGAATACGCCAGTTGTAATCCACCAAAGAGTCGGAGCAAGTCCGACTGACAGTGTGCGAGGAACCCCTCAGGGACTCGAAATCTGAAGCACCCCAAGGGCTGCATTCAGTCCATTAAGACGGCCGGTTACTGTTTTTCCGACTTTTTGCTTGGTGGCCCTATTAAAGGAAAGGAAGACAAAAAAGTGAAATTGAACACTCAATTATGTCTGTAGCGGGTCACGTGTCCCAAGGTCTTCCTGTCACCCTCACAACACAAGTACTCTGCCTCACTTGACGGCCAATGGCAGCTCGACAGCAACCTCAGGCTGGATGGCTGGGTGGTCGGCTGAAGGGCAGGCAGGCGGGTGGAGTGCACTGAAAATAGTTCGCAAGAGGAAGAGCCGTCTACACCCCGTTGAAACAGCTTGCCAGGACTGCACAGCCCCCAGGCAAATGCACCTGCTGGCACTGATGGCTGTGTCCATTGGCATGCACCTGGGCAGTTGCGCTGGACACACCCATGCATAACAGTATAAGGGAACTACGGAATCATTGCAGCAATGTGAAGTGGTGCACTGAGTCAACTCGCCCTGCTCTGAATGTAATCATAGCCCACTCCTGCTCTAAATGTAATCATTTTTTTTTTTTTTTTTTTTTTTTTTGCTCTCAATGTAATCATAGCCCTGCCCACTCCAATTATCAGCTCCAAAGCCTAGAAACTATTGCTGGCAAGTTGCTCTCCTTCCCTTTCTTCTCACCACCCACCTCTCTCTCTCTCTCTCTCTCTCTCTCTCTCTCTCTCTCTCTCTCTCTCTCTCTCTCTCAAATCCGGTTGGCAACTGTGCTGTGACTTGGCCCAAGTTGGCCGTGATCCAATGGCAGCCATATTTTGGGGGGATTTGAAATTTGAATGCTTTCCTGGTCCAAGTAAAATGGCCATTCTACACCAGGCACTGCAGGCAGGTAAGGTCTGGTGCACACTGTAGACCTGAGTCTCCCGTTGTCACGCGTTGCGTTTGTGTCTGAGCTATCCTGCACAGCCTACAGCTTGAGGGTTGCCCCCGTGCTGTGGCTCTGCTTCATTGATGCTGAGCCCCACACGCCCCTTCTGCTCAGACCCTCCCGGCAATACGAAGGAAGAAGTTCACTCCACGGCTCTGCATCAACTTGGCCTTGCCTCGGCATTGGCTTCATTCAAGGCCCCAAGGGCCAACAAGGGACAACATCCATTTCACCCGGTTTCACGACTTCTCTTCCAGTCATCTCCAAACCTCTGGTCGTACTTACACTGGGACTTCTTCTACTCAGCTTGCGGGCTATTGCTGTCAGATGCCTTCAGGTGTGCCCATAACTGGGGTCAGATGCATCCAGGAAACTTTAAGTCGTACTGTGAGTATGCCCTCACCGCCCCTCACTGCCCCTCAGGCAACCTTCATTCCCCGAACACTGTAGTACCACCAAAATTAAGGCTGAGAACGAACCAACACTCTTCTGCTAGTGGAAAGGGACCGGGGTGCCCCCACACCACACTTTCCAAAATCATGGCAAAATGTATTTAACTACAATTACAGCCCGACGTGGATGAATCTGACAGCAATTACTGTCCAGAGCTCAGTAGAAGAAGTTCCAGTGTGAGTCGGCCATCAGGATGGAAAGAGGCCGTCACGCTGAGGTCAAGATTTCAAGGAAATGTAAAAAAAATAAAAATAAAAAAGATTTGAAGGAAACGGACTAAGGGCATACTCACACGGGGACCAAAAGAACCAAAAAATTTGAGGCATCTGGGTACGGTTATTTGGGTCATTTGGTCCCTGTGTGGTCACACGTAAGGACTTCGTCCAGAAAGGACGAAGTCGCAACCCTGACACTTTGCACTCAGGGCAAGGTCGTGTGGTCACACGAGGGGACACCAAAGAAAAGAAAAAGAAAAAAAAGAAAAAAGAAAAGAAAAACAACTTCTTCTACTACTGGCAAGAATGACACGCAGGGGCCTCGGGAGCGCGGAAGCGCTGCGCTAATTTTCTGCGCTATTTTCCCTACCGGAGACAGTAGAGGTTACCCGCGGAAGTTACAGCGATGAAACGCTCTCGCGTCTTTCACCTACTTTCACTCTCTATTGCACGGGGAGTGGAGGGTGAAAGATCTATCCTCACCATAGCCACTAAGGTGTGAGCTCTCCGTGGAATATCGGAAGCCAGGATAGTGGATCCGCTTGGCACAGTAAAAGAGGGCTTTTTGCCTCAGTCACATCACGAGGCTGTTCACCGGTGTACTCCGTTTTTTTTTTTCCACTGTGTTGCGTATACTTCCCAAAGATTGGGTGGTATGGTGCTGTAAGACAACACCCCGCAACATGGTTTACCAAGGGGTGGGTTTGTTCCTCAACTGTACTGCGCTTCTCGGCGCTTGTATTGCGCTTCTCGGCGCTCGTAGCCGCGGGCTTACTGTACAAGGCAATTTGGCGAAAGCAGACTTGTTTTCTCGAAGACGGAGGTCAGGTATATCTTCCGCACACTCACGATTATCCCCGTTTGAAGGGAGATACGACTCCTCTCTCCGAGATGTAATCAGTTTTTATCTCACTGTTTGGATGCTTATTACCCTGCCTAGAGTAGGGTTCAGATACGTGTGTGTAGTTTTAGTACTGTTCGATAAGTAGTTGGTTAGGTCGTTTCTTCCTTTTATCTTTTTTAGACGGACCATGGCCCCTCCAGGGGTGGGCCAGTCCGAGTTGGAAAAAKAAAAATGCCGAATTAGGGATTTAATTTCGCAGTGTTACATTGACGGTGTACTGCCGAAAGATCTTGCTCCAAATGAAGTAGAAACGGGTGATGATTATGTAAAAGTAACCATCAACCCGGTAGTGAATCAAATTCAGGCCGAATGGCTCCAGGACCACGCGGTGTCAATTTTCTTCGGAGATGATTCTACTTCTCTCTCTGTGGATGTTAAGCAGCGTCTAGTGAGAATTTACGAAAACGGATGGGCATCCTCGGGAGAGATCTCTGCCGCGCCTAAAAGGGGCCTGTTTCATAATGAAGGCCGAAATCTGGCTACATACGTCGCTTCCGCCAAAGAAGTAGCCGCCTGGATGCTTCCAGTCGGAAACACAGAACTGGAACTAGACGGTAAGAAATACTCCTTTGCCTTCAAGCCGTGGATGACGGAACATGAGCTGTGGGAGTGGAGGGAAGTGTCGATGCACCGTTTTTTCTGGATCAGGTGCATGCAGGTCCCGGTGGGCGCTCTTTCTCATCTACGCGAAGCAGTGAAAGATGCTTTTGGCACAGTGTTAAAAGAATTTTCCTTTTTTAAGGATCCACTTTCACCGGCTCTGATAAACATTCGGTTCGATTTAGAATCCGTCGCCCGCCTCCGTTACAAACGATACTTGGTTGTCGATTTGGGGAGACAGGGTTATGTGGAAATAGAAGTTGTTTGTGCGTCTACCCCGTGGTGCCCAAAATGTCGGCGTCGCTTCCACTGGGAAGGGGACCCTGACTGCGTCTCCACGAATAGGAAATCGTACTCCGATGCCGCCAAATCAAAGCCCCCCCCCCCCCTCCCCCTCCTCCTCCCTGTCCCCCCCACCCGCATCGGACAAAGGTGACGAAGGATCAAAGAGCGTGAGGGATGGAAGAGGAGGAGGGAGAGGGGATGGTGGGGAGAAAGGAGGAGGTGGAGGGAGCGGCAGTAGGGATGGTGGTAGAGGGGGTAACAGGGATAGTCCCAATGGGCCAGGTGGAGGACGGGAGCGGACAAGTCAGGTGGAGAAAAGCGGTGGAAAGGGACCAGCCCAGGGGGACCCGAAGGGGAAGGGCGCCTTGGCCGAGGAAGAAGAAGAAGCGGCTAAGGGTAAAGGGAGGAGTGATATGGGTGGGGTACGGGAATCGAGAGGTGGCGTTCCGATTGGAGGAGGGGCTGGGGGCAGGGATAGGGATGGTAGCGGGAACGCTGGAACCTCCCTCCACCCATCCGGGAAAGATCCGGTAGGGAAAGACACTCATTCTCCATCGGCAGCAGGGCTGCCCATAGTCGAGGTCATGGACRAAGACAAAGTTGTGCAGYGGGRAAAGAGAAAAAGGGACGAAGGAGCAAYTGCAGACAAAATGTCTGCCGAAGAGTTTATTGCGGCCAGAGCTCTGGTCATTTACAACAGGGATACGACCTCATTTCCTCTACCCCCAGTCCCACTGTACTCATCCTCCTTCTCAGAAGTTGAATMTGAAGAGGAAGAGGAAGAAGAGGAGATGGAAGAAGAGGAAGAGGAGGAARAGGAGGAGGAGGAGGAAGTGGGGCTGGCCCCCCTGTTCGGAGAAGCGGGGAACAACCTCCGATCTAGCACGACTTGTTATGTCAACAGGATGTACGATTTCGACGGCTTGTTTGATGCTTCTCCAATTGATAAGAAACGAACGATACAACCTCTAACAGATGCTGAAGGGACTTCAGCCTGAATCAAGGGGAACCCCCCCTGCTCCTCAGATGAGGATTTTTTGGATTGCAGAGATGATCAGGAGAGCCCGGGGCCTTCAGACCTCCGTGTGGATGGGGGCGCCGCTGCCTTTTCCCCTCAAAGTAACACTCACTCTTTACAGAGGGGGGGTACGGGCTCCCCGACAAAGAAACCTAAGAAAGTGCCTCGCAAGCCGGCGAGTAAGACCACAGACGGAAGACAACAGGTACTCCCTCAGAAACAAGGGGGGTTGGCCAGCCAGCAGGGACAGTTAAAGAAATCACTTTCCCTGGCTGCGCCAATGCAAACTCTGTCAAAGAGGGACAGGGCAAGAGGTGTGGTGGAGGAGCTGGCAGTTCCTCTGATAGTGACCCAGTCCCCCCACGGGATCATGGTGTTAACTAAGGTTCAAACGGATGAATCTCTAACTCTACCCTCTTTCCCAGTCTCAGGCCCTCCCTCGGAATCCTTGATGATTGGTAAAACAGAGAAACAACTCCTGCAGGGTGTTGGCAAATGCAGGATGCTGCCTAAGCCTAGAAGTGGAAGGTTTCTGATCTTCATTTTGAGTGATTCTAAATCAGCCCTCCATTTCTCGTTTTTAACAATCCAAGCTGAGCAATCTTCTTTGCTTAGTCTCAGGTCCCAGAATATCCACTGGCTCCCGCTGACACATTTCCTAGATGTTGGTATAGATACCCTGAGAGATATTGTCATCTCAAAGGAAGTATCTGCCCTCAGCGTAGCACAATGGTTGACTCAAACAGAATCGGCTGATTTTCTCACAACTCCTGCCTTTGCAGAAAGTGTGAGTAGGCTGCAGTCCCCCCTGACGCCAGGCACAACAGGGGGTTGTCCTGTTACCCTCAAGGGGACAAAGGGACAGAAGTCGTCTCAGTCGCACATCCAATCAGCACGCGGCAAGGGCCTGAACAATGGTCCTGCCAGAAAGGGTTAGAATCGCAACTTGGAACGTGCATGGTCTAGGCGATTCTTCTAGTGAAAAGAGGTCAAGAGTTAAAACTTGGTGTCATGCTAACAATGTGCAGATTCTATGCCTACAAGAGACTAAGATAAACGACATCAAACTCTCTAACCTTCAGCATTGGTGGGCAGGTCCTCAGATCTGGTCTCCAGCGGTTGGCACGAGGGATGGTGTCGCCATCCTTATCAATAAGGACTTGAATATCTCCATCCTGGACCAATACCATGACCAAGAAGGACGTTGGGCATGACTCAAGTTCGAGATAGACAAAGAAGAGTGGGCGGTCATGACGATTTACGCGCCAGTAGTCTATTCGGACAGACTGAAATTTTTCTCAAACCTACCGTCCTCCCTCCCTGATATCGAAAACTTAATCTTGGTCGGCGACTGGAATTCCATTTTTAATCCTGGTCTTGACTCACTCAACATTTCCCCTGTTAGATGGGACTCAGTCTTACTCACAGAACTGTGTGATTCCCAGAACTTGACAGATGTATACCGTACCTGGTGCCTTGAGTCCAATGGTTTCACATGGTACGGCCCTAAACCCAACAAGAGAACCCCCGCTCCGAGGAAACGGTTGGATTTCTTTTTAGTTAGGGGTTCTCCATGGGACCGTTGCATGTCATGTGAGTTGAAAACTGAGTCCATGTCTGACCATCACCCGATAGTGATGGATGTCCTATCCTGTGAAATAATCCAGAGGCATCGCCCTCCCTTCAGACTTAACGTAAATTTGCTAAAGGATGAAGGCATAGGTCGTTGGGTTTCATCCCACATGGAGAAGTGGATGGAAACCCAGGACCTATTTAATGACCCCCACGCCTGGGCCGGCACAGGAATAGGCATCGTCAAGGGCGCACTTATGGAATTTTCAAGAATGAAGGCCGCCACCCGCACCTGGTCAGAATAGTGTTCAAGGAATCAGGTGAGGGAGGCCGAGGAAAAGATGGGGGGCGACCCCTTTTCTGATTTCTACTGGTCCGAGAAGAGGAGGGTAGCCTTAGTCCAACTGGAATCAATCCAAATCTAGAAGCAGAGCGAATGGGTGGACTGGCTACAAATGAGAGGAGTCGTAGGATACGATAGGATGACCAAACTCTCTTTCAGGTCTCTGCTGCTTCGCCGTTCGAAATCCCTGATAAGAGAGTTAGCCCACCCCTTTTCTATTCATGCTCCTCTGGCCACCGACACGGTGGACAGGTGCACATATGCCCTGGAATACTACAGAGATATTGTGACTACCAGGAGACCTTTTGACCTCCCAATTGTGACCTCTCTGAATTCTCCAATTTTTGGGATAACCCCTATGGCACTCTCTCCCCCTCGATTAGAGAGGAGCTGGATTCACCTATGAGGGAAGACGAGATTTTACAGGCTGCCAGACAAATGGCAAAGGACAAATGCCCGGGCCTGGACGGTCTCCCGATCGAATTATTTCTGGCTTCGTGGTCTGCCTTTGCACCGTTCCTATGTGGGGTCTACAATAGGGCCCTCACCTCGGGATCTCTCCCCAGGAACTTCACTTTGGGAATGATCTCCCTCTTATATAAAAAGGGAGATAAGAGGGAAGTGCGCAACTGGCGCCCCATCTCAGTCCTAAATGTCACTTATAAACTTTTCGCGAAAACTCTAGCGCTTAGACTAGCCAAATTTCTCCCTGATCTGATTGGTTGGGAACAGGGAGCCTTTGTAAAAGGCAGATCCATCTTTGATAATATTATTGCCACGGTTCAGGCCCTGAAGATTATTAGTAAAGAAAAAAGGGAGGTTGCTGTTCTATTGCTTGACATGGAAAAAACATACGATAAGGTAGGTTGGAGTTTTGTGCACACCTCTCTACTGAAGATGAGATTTGGCCCTGGTTTTTGTAAATGGGTAGAAGCTAGTTACAGTCAAGCATCCTCAGCTGTTCTAGTCAATGGTAGGATCTCAGATAGTTTTCGCCTCACGAGGTCACTCAGGCAATGGTGCCCATTAGCGCCTTTACTTTTTGTTCTACAACTAGAGGTCCTGCTCAATAACATTAGAAGAAACGACGCGATTAAAGGCTAACAACTCTCCCCTTGCCTACAGTGGAAGGGGGGAGCCATAGCGGATGATCTCACAATAGCCTGTGAAAATTCTTCAGATTCCTTGCAGGAACTACGTAAAGTTCTGGATACATACTGTTCCCTCTCAGAAGCATCCATTAATTGGGATAAGTCTGTGTATTTTCTCCCCCCCACACAGGCCCTGAAGGAAGACTGGGGCCTGCGTAAAATTCCAGCCAACTGGGCTGATCGTTTTCTTGGCGTTCAAGTCTCACTCAATGACTGCTCGAAGATACAAGATGACATGTTGGCGGAAAAGGTCACTGCCAGAATCGCAGGATGGATCCGGAGTCATAAACTCTCGTTATATGGGAGGGCAATGGTCTYGTCATCTGCAGCATTCTCTCTTCTCTGGTTTCCACCGTCCGTCCACTTGTTGGGCGATGGAGCTTATTCTCATATTAAAAAAGCCGCTGCTCGCTATCTTTGGAAGCCAGCGGCAGTGGAACATCAAGGTTTTATCTCCAAGGTTGCGTGGGAAACAGTCACCTCAGATAGGGATCTCGAGGGCCTAGGCATCCTGGATCCCCTCCAGCAAAACCTGGCGCTCCTCTGCAAATGGGTCGTATCAGGCACCTGGGGTAACCGTGGACGTTGGTGGGTCAAGATTACGGAGTATATCCTAGGTTTGGAATGGGGTCTCGCCAACCACAGCGATGTGTGGCGATGTATGTTTATCCCCTCCTTTGCTCACCGCCGCCCAAAGTCTCGATTCTAGAGAAATGTCCTGCGAGCTTGGAGCAAACTGTTCCCCAGGGACAGTAATCATCCTTCCACCAAGCAAGAAGTTATGAATCAATTTTTGTTTGAGAACCCTCTTCTCACCCAAGAAGACGGAGTCCCTTTCTCAGCCAAAAGTGGTAAGGGCTGTTTTGGGAAAGCTTGGGTAGAGAAGGGTTTCATTCAAATTAAGGATCTGTGGGATCCGGTTGCAGAGGACTGGATTGGTATACAGGAACTGCGCAGAGCAATGCCTCGGATCCAGAACTTAGAGCCCAACTTTGAAAACCTCAAGAAAGCAATACCAACTTATTGGCTGGGTATCGCTAGAATGCACTCAGAGGCACCGTCCGGGGCGTGGCTCAAGGACCCGGTTGTGCCTGGCCAGTACCTGTACGTGGAGGGGCCAGTTTTGCCTCAGGGAGTCAAAGTCCAGGTTTGGTCGGCGCCTCTCGGCCAAAAAAGGAAAGGTCTTTTGAAGCATTGTGGGGAGAAAATCTTGTCTGCCACAGGAGGGTACGTTGAAAGCAGAATATGGTCTCCGGACCCCTCCTCTGCCGGCCAAGCTCTTCTACTCTATGAGGATGCCACGATAATTCAAGTCGAACCAGGCCTGGTTGGCTGGAAGGGCCTTACATCCCCAAACTCCTTCTCCCCGGCCTTTTTGTATAAAGCAAAATGGGGAGTGAGTATTTGCAGATCCAGATCAAAGAAACAGGCAGTGGTTACAGCAGCAGAACGTCATGCGAAGGAAGCGGGTTTCCAGCTAGGATCTCTAGATCTCCATAGTCTGTGGAGAAATCTTAAACGTATTCCGTCGCAAAAGCAAGCTAGTTTAATGTGGCTTCAATCTTTACTTGTAACACCTTCTGCAACTTGGTTCTCGTCGAAGGGAATGTGCATTTCAGAACTTTGTGCCAGGTGTTTGTGGGGTTGGGAAACAGCAAACCACATCTGGCTATATTGCCCCTTCTCCCACCAAATCTGGCTATGGTGGCGGGCTCACTGGGAAGCTATGACAAAAGGGAGTTTCCAGTGGTCCCAGGAATGGTTCCTCTACGGTAAAATACCAGAGAATACTGATTTATCTTCAGGTTGGGGTTACGTAGCTCTGGTGTGCAGAGGGGCCCTTATGGAAGCCATCTGGAAGGCCAGAAACAACGCGGTGTTCAGAGGAGAATCACTAGCTTTCCAGTGCCTGACCSCCCGGATAAAGAGTCTAATTCGCATCTCCATYAGGGCGGATTGGTACACCTCCAAGACAAGTTCAAGTAAAGGCC